AAAGTGATGCCATCCATCCTTTTGTCACATAACTTATTTCAAATAAACTTTTTTTGGCTAACAGAATGTTCTGGGTCAGGCTGGCCCATTCAGATACCACTCATAAAACTGAAGCATATAAATAAACGCAGTTGAAAATATTTGGTTCATGCAAAATGTGGTATAGCGGTAGTCCATCTGGATAAACTTGGCCTTACAACTAACCTTGTAAAACTGACTGACGTTTTGCCATTTCTGAGTTTTTTTAAGGTCGGCTGGCTGATTTGGCCAACTTGAATGGGATTGACTCTTCAAGTGAATCAGCTGAAGATGTACAACAATCATTGGAGAACAAGTAGTAGTAAAAGTAGTGGTAGTGGTGGTGCTAGGTGGTGGTGCTGGTAGTAGGTAGTGGTAGGTGTTGGCACTAGGTAGTAGTAGGTAGTGGTGGTGGTAGGTGGCAATGATAGTAGGTAGTGGTAGGTGGTGGTAGTAATAAGTGGTGGTAGGTGGTGATGGTAGTAGTGGTAGGTGGTGATGGTAGTGGTAGGTGATAGTACTAGGTAGTAGTAGGTAGTGATGGTGGCAGGTGGTGGTGCTGGTAGGTTGTAGAGATACTAGGTAGTGGTAGGTGGTGGTGGTAGTAAGTGGTGGTAGGTGGTGGTGGTAGTAGTACATGGTGATGGTAGTAGGTAGTGGTAGTAAACAAGTTGACTACCTTAGGAAATCACATTTCTTCCTGTTAGCTGTTAACATCAAAAACTCAGATTGTTCTTACAGGTTTTCAGGTGAAACCTCCTCACCTAGCCAACATTTCTCCATCTGCAACACAGTGTTTTCTTTAGTCAGGTTGTAGCTCAGCTGGCTGAAAAGGAAAAAGCTTGGGTATAGGAAGGAATGTGTTACTATCGCTTGCCACTGAATGTGCCTGTCTCTGAAACTCAAAGTAATCATTGGACGTATATCTACATTTTATTGACATTTGGAGTTATGCCAAGTCAAGATGGACATTAATGACCAACGCAGGCAATTTTACAGATATTTAGCAAAAGTTTTGAGTAGTCAAAACTTTTGCAACACATACTGCAGGAGACAAAACATCTTGTGAGATCTTGCATGTGATGTCACTTCCTTCTTCTACCTCTTGGTTGAGATGTGAGACGACAGGAAAATGAATATCCAGCCATCTTCTCCCCAGCATCACTTCTCAGCTCTTCCTGGGGAATCCCAAGGAGTTATCAGGCCAGAGATCCCAGTATCTCCTCCCAGTGGGACACGTTCTGAAAATCTGAAGAGAGGCATTCAGGAGGCATCCAAATCAAATGCCTGAATCACCTCAGTTGAGTTTTTAAGACACGGGGCTTAAGGTTGAATGATGGCACGACAAAATTGACCATTAACCCTTAACCCTAGGTGGCCTGGTAACAAGTACACTTATGGGCGACCTTGTGCTCAAATATAGGGTTTGTTTTGGACAATCCAGTCATAGCATGGACGTTTAGTGACAGAACACCACTCTGGTTCAAATCAGAGAAGCTGTTACTCCTCTAGGTGATGCCATCATTTCCCAAGTTGTCATTAAAGGTAACTAGGAGAACAACAGAATCGCACAGTGGCACTCCTTCCAAGACACCATCTAGAGGCTCCAAGAAGGCTTGGTGATCTGAACTAATGTTTGGTGCATAAACAAAAGTCAGAGCCTTCTTTCCTGTAGCTCAAAGCTGCAGAGAGATGACCTTCTCACTAACAGGGTAAAACTCCAACACCGAGGCGCTCAGCCATGGGGTTGTGAGTAATCTCACATCCACCTGACGCCTCTCTCCATGGATAACTCTAGAGTAGGAAAGAGTCCAGCTCATCTCCAAGAGTTGGCCTCCAGGAGCCCAAGCTGTGTTTAGAGGCAAGCCTTACTGAACCTAGTTAATTCATTCACTCATTCAACTTTATTTAAACAGATAAATCACATTGAGCCTCGAAGACTCATTTACAAGTGAGACCTGTTTGGACAGACAAAAACAGTGGTTAACTGGACACATGTAGGAGTTGGAGGCGAAAAAAATTCCTATCAGACTTTTTTCTTGGCTGAGAAAAACCCTTAATATTGAAAAAACACCTTGTACAAACAAGCACATATTTACTTAGACATTCTGCAGAGCAGAGCATAAGAAGGAAGAAACGAGAGCGGTCAACAACGCCTACAGATGCTCTCGAGGTCACTGTAATCAGTAAATGTCCTCCGGTGAGATCCATAAACATTCTCGAGGTATGTCGAGAAATGGCCAAGAATAACCTCTATAAGAATCCAGAGTCCTGAAATGATGACACAACGTTTTTTCTGCGGGATTTCATCTGGTTATCAGTTGGAAATTCCTCAGGGAGGGGGTGGTGAGCGTCAGATCACATTTTCTCCAGGCGACTTTGGATAAGATTGCCTTCAAGGACAACCAAGGCGACCAAAATTTAGATAAACACACAGTTATTTTGGGGACAGGCAGAACTTAATGACATCAACCTTCAGTCTGTGTCAGTCTACTCGGTTCCGAAATGACCAAATTAACATGGCCAACACCGATGGAAACGTGTCTGAGTAAAAATCCACAAGATCTGATCCATTCAGCCCAAAGCATTTGAGTCCGGGTACTCCAGAACATGAACCAAACCATCATAAAGGCAAGCAGCGTGATCGGGTCCAAATTTGCTGCTGACGACTTCCTTGATTGTAGATAAAACCAGCACCAGCTGAATCCAAAAAAAGCAGGGACCAGTTATCGAAAATCCAATTAAATATGCGTCCTTAACATCCACAGATGGCAGCAGAGATAGACACATCATCAAGTCTTCCAGTCGATGAGATATCCAGCTGCGTACATGCCAACAGGGTAAATCGGCTCGCCCAAAGCCTGTAGTTAATATTGTTCAACCTCATACACAAGCTCCAGCTCCTGACCTGCCAAAGAGGTGATATCCTTAGAGCTAGTCTGCTGCCAGGAGTTGGCATGGCTAGGGACCCTCCCTCACCTGCTGCTTAGCTCATTCAACCCCCAACCAAAATGGTGCTCCTTGCAAGTGATTGGCCTATTGTGACGTGGCATCCCATCGCTCTTTTGGACTTAGTGAGGAGTCAAGACCCCGTATACTGGCAAGTTCCCACATGCCTGGCTCCAGGGGCGTGTGAGGTATCCTGACAAGTTTTATGTTCGTTTACCGAGGATTTGGAAGTGGGAGTGGTGGTGCAGAGGTTAGAGAATGTGGCCATGTGATCGGAAGATCGTTGTTTCAACTCCCGGTACTGATAACATTAAAATGTGGGTGGGATAGGTGAAGCACCCACACCTGTCTCCACCCTCATTTGCCCCACTCTGGGCCCTTGAGCAAGGCCCATAATGCCACTATCTGCTCCCCCAGGCACCCTAGATGGCAGCTGTCTGCTCCACACAGAGGGCTGTGGTAGCTCTGTGGTCTGTGGTTGTGTCAGGAAGTTCATCTGGTGTAAAAATAATTGCCAAGGCTTTGTGCGACTTAGTTCACTGTGGTGACCCCTGACGAAGGGAGCAGCCGAAAGAAGAAAAAATAAATAAAAATTGAGGATTTGGAATGGCTCTTAGTAGTTTAGTAGCTTAGTAGTAGAAGTTCTGCTTGTGCGGCTGCAGAACACAACCCTGGTTAAAACACCTGCTTCTTTCAATACAACACATCTGCCACGAGTTAAGACTACCCACCCCATCCTTCTTACAGCTGAGGCTAATTTAAGAAATATTCACATTTTTAATATTTTAATCAAAGACTGGATTTGTGATTGTGTATTTTTTTAATTTTTTTTTTATTTAACCTTAGTTTATACAACTAGTCTCATCGAGTCACAATAACTAATTTTCAAGAGACTTATTTTAGACAGACTAAAATACAACAATATCAAGCTATTAAAATTAAAAATAGTGTTATAAAAACACTATTACTGTTAGCAGCATTGTCCGATTAGCAGAGTGGTTCTGTTAACAATGAGGTTCTCTTAGCAGCGTGGTCTGGTTAGCAGCATAGTCCTGTTAGCGATGTAGTTCTGTTAGCAGCATGGCCCTGTTAGCAGCATGATTCTTTTAGCAGCATGGTCCTGTTAGCAATGCGATTCTGTTATCAGCATGGTCCTGTTATCAGCATGGTACTGTTAGCAGCATGGTCCTGTTAGCAGCATGATACTGTTAGCAGCATGATACTGTTAGCAGCATGGTCCTGTTAGCAGAATGATTCTTTTAGCAGCATGGTCCTGTTAGCAGAATGATACTGGTAGCAGCATGATTCTGTTAGCAGCATGATTCTGTTAGCAGTATGGTCCTGTTAGCAATGTGGTTCTGTTATCAGCATGATGCTGTTATCAGCATGATGCTGTTAGCAGCATGGTCCTGTTAGCAATGTGGTTATTTTAGCAGCGTGGTCTTGTTTGCAACTTGGTTCTGTTAGCAGTGTTGTCCTGTTAGCACTGTATTTTTAAGTGTAATTTAAATTTTACTTGTGCTTTTTAAAATAGTACTGTTTGGGTTTGGGAGAGCCATCAAACATAATTTTGTTGTTTTGTGCATGTTGAATCCTTATGTGTTTGGTTCTTCGGACTGACATGTTTGTTGTCAAATAAAACCAGAAGAGAGACAGATTAACTGAACATGCTGAAGGCTTCAGTGGGGGAGGAGCAGCTCAGCTGAAATACTTATCTGTTGGGAGGGGGAGTAGAAGGTGGGGCTATGGGAGGTGTGATGCTGTTGCCAGGGAAACGGTAGAAGCTGTGAGAGTGATCGCGCGCGCGCGCGTGTGTGTGTGTGTGTGTGTGTGTGTGTGTGTGTGGGGGGGGGTTTGTGAAGTTGTAGATCTGAAGATGCAGCGATGTTTGATTCTGTAGGGAGGTAAGAAATGGATGAATACTGGATGGATGGATGATGGATGGATGATAGATGGATGATGGCTGGATGCTGCAGACGTGGTGAACACTCTGGCTGTAACCAGATGCAGAGGCTCGTGTTTCTGCCGCTGACCTGAATCGGAGCAGACTGTTGGGTCGGATCAGGCGGTGAGGTTAAAGCAGACTGCGGAGTGAAGCGCTGTCTTTGTGCCGTTTTCCGCTTCCGTCTTTTGGTCTGATCGTTTTTCTCTTCCCTCACTCGATCTGCATTATTCTGCAGCAGATTACCAATCCCGACAGCGCGGAGCCACCTTTCAGAGCGCCTGGTGTCAGAACAGCAGGTGTGTTTCTTCCTGCTTGTGAGGACTCATGCAGTTTGTTAGAAGTAGGTCAGAGTGTGTTGCTCCAATTGGTGCAGCAGGGAGACACCAGTGTTTGTTATTGACTGTCTGTGGTGGAGGAATGTGGGGGAGACTCTGATTGGTCATTTCCTAATTGTTCGGATGGCTGAGAGGCACCAGTCCAGGTGGGTGAAGCACCAGTTTTTCAGTCTTAACAGTTGCAGGAGCCCACCTCCCCGCTGTAAGGAAACCTGAGCAGATCATACAGAAACTGAAAATTCAATCAGGTTGTTTGATCCACACAGATATTTCCTGCTGCAGCTGCTGTGATGATGCTCAGCCCAGTTTTTAATCACTAAACCAGAGAAAAAGTTGTTTTGAATAAATGACATCACTCTAAATTTGGCAGCATAGTGAAACAGTGGTTAGAGCTGTCTCTTCACAGCAATAAGCTTGAGGTCTTTCAGAATTCAGAATCAAATTTATTGTAATTTTATATACATTAAACAAAATTACAGGAATCCAAAAAAGTTCAATCTGGTCCTCTGGGCATTCAAGAAAACAAAAAACCAAAAAACAAAACAAAGCAAAAAAAAATGTAGAAACGTTTCGTCTCTCATCCGAGAGACTTCTTCAGTCTGAGGTGCTGTATTCAGATCAGTCTCTTAAATAGCACCTTCTCAGAGTGGATCAACCAGTTTGCTGCTGACAACCAAAACCAGCTGCTCCCATGGTCAAGAAGGACCATCAGCCTAACAATGGATCATTAACACACTGATGGCTGCTTACTATTCATAGGGGGTTGAGTGATACTAGCAATCACAGCATTGTAAGAGGGGGACATTTGAACCCGGAGGCCTCCACCCCTGTTTAATGATGGACGATTTCTTTTCACAAAGATGGCCTCCTTTACTCCGCTCTCAAACCATCGTTCCTCTCTATCCAGGATGTGAACATCTTCATCCCTGAAAGAGTGACCGCTGGCCTGGAGATGAGTGTAGTCCTGGCCTGATGATGTTGATCTTCTGTGCTGGGCCATCCTTTTGGCCAGTGGCTGTTTAGTTTCCCCGTTGTAAGACTGATCACAGCCCTCCTGACACTGAACAGCATACACAATGTTACTCTGTTTGTGCCGGGGGACTGGATCTTTGGGATGAACCAGTCTTTGCCATAATGTGTTTTGGAGTTTAAAAGCCACTGGGACCTCCTGTCAAATTGAAAGGGGCTATATCTTTTATCTACAATCAAATCACACTTCTACGCCCACAAACCCTGAATTCCCTTAGATCACTTTGGGAGGAAGACCTTGGACAGGCCATTTCAGAGAATCTTTGGACACAAATCCTGTCATTTGTGCATAAGTCCTCATTCTGCGCAAGACATAATCTAATTCAATGCAAACTTGTACATCGCACTTATTATACCAAAGCACGTCTGGCCAAGTTTTATACCAACGTTTCTCCTGCCTGCGATAGATGCCAGCATTCTCCAGCTAATTTGATCCACACTATCTGGCTCTGCCCTCAGCTGTCTCAGTATTGGTCCAAAGTGTTTGCTATTTTATCGGACATTTTTGACAAGAAACTGGAGCTTGACCCCATGACTGCTTTGTTTGGAGTTGCACCTCCACAATCCACCCTGTCCTCCTTCCAGAAATCTTCCTTGGCTTTTTTTACTTTTTGGCGCGGAGAGTTATTATAATGAAATGGAAGTCGTCTCACCCTCCATCCTATACCCATTGGCTTCGAGATACGCTGTATTTCATTAAACTTGAGAAAATCCGTTTTACTCTAAGAGGCTCCTCTACGAGAGTTTTGGGTTTGTGGAACCCCCTGTTAAGAACCCTTAGGAAGATTAATTTCCCTAATATTCCAGACTGATAAGGTGGTACACGTAGCTGGTGTTTATTATTATTATTTTTATTCTTATTATTCCTATCTACTATCTTGTTTACTTTCATCTTCTTTCTTGAGTTAAGTTTGACTGATATATTGACAGAAGTATCCCCTGGCACCTGAATTATTTTTATTTATTTTCATTTTATTTATTTTTTGTTTAATTTTTGTTTATCGTCTCTGAGTGTGTGTTTGTATGGGTCGAGGGAAAGAAATTTATGTATATTTAGTACAGTGCTTCTTATCTTATTTATTTTTTGATGTATCTGTTTTTTGTCCGGTAACGCAGTATGTTTATTGTGACTTGATCCATTTCAGGTAGATGCTTATATGCGTGTTTAATTGGGTGTGTTCTAGCCCAATTATGTTTGTATGTTAATGGTACAATGCTAACTATGTAACTGCTGCACTGTATTTACACTGTACCTCATGTAAAAGCAAAAATAAATTTGGGAAAAAATAAAAAATAAAAGCCACTGGGACGTTATGTTTAGAAAATAAATGTCTCAGTTTCTCTGATACTCCCTCAACATACGGAATGAACACTGGTCTGTGTCTGGGTTCCTCCTTTTCACCTGATGGCTGACTGGAGTCCTGTTTGGGTTTCTTCTCTGCTTTCAGGAAGGCCCAGTTAGGATATCCACATTGCTCTAGAGCCTGTCTTGTGTAAGATTTCTCCTTCTGCCTGGCTCCTGAGTTAGTGGGGATGCTGTCTGCTCTGTGATACAGAGTCATGATGACTCCTAACTTGTGCTCCAAAGGGTGATGGGAGTCAAACTGCAAATACTGGTCTGTGTGGGTGGGTTTGCAGTACACCTCGGTTTGCAAAAGTCCGCTATCAGAGACTGAGACCTCACAGTCCAAGAAAGCCAACCTGCCTTTTTGACATATGCAACACTAAGCATTGTGGTTTGTGTAATTTATAAGTGACTGTAATGTGTAGTGAGTATGATTTGATGTGCTGGATGTGACCCACGGGCCCTGGGCTGAGCTGCTGCCACGTTTTCATACATCCAGAACTCAACGGTTGATGTTATCCGCCTAATTTTGACCCATACCTGGTTTTTGACTTGGTCATCTGTGTTCTTACATCACACCTGTAAAAACAAACTTTACAAAGTTGGATCTCAGAGCTGAGAGGTCCTAACATTCAGCATGAAACGTCCACATTTTTTTCAGGACTTTCTGATCATTATGAAAATGTTCTTCAAGACTAACCTGTGCTGGTCCTGGTTCAGGTTCTGTTGATGGAAACTGAATGTGTTACCCAAGTTTACCTGAGAGCGATGGATTCCTCTGAGAAGTTTTGTTCTGTCATGAGTTAGGAGCAGTGGCGGCTCCAGAAATTTTTTTCAGCAGGTGCTAAGGGGAGGCTAAGCATTTTACTGTGGGTGCTATGAAGGTTATTTTTCTTCCCTAGAGTTATCAACACAAACACAAGCACACGTGCACGCACACACACACACACACACAGGTGCACTGAAAACTCTGACATCAGCAGTCACCAATACAGTGGATAGTGAATAATGTGGTACTCTGCAATTAATTTAAAGCATATACAAACGTGACACACTTGCCATATTTATAGATCTTAGTATGCAAACTGTTACAACAAATTCACATTGTTTCCCCAGATGTATCACATAAACAATTTCAGTCCACAATGCTGAATGCATTACAAAGTCAGAGAAGATTGAAATCATTCACTCACCATCAGAAGTCTTCATAACAGGACAATCCGCCTGTTATTGTGGTTGAGGGCAAAAGCATCAATAATCCTGTCACTGTCCAGGGTCCTGGTTCTTAAAGGATTGATAGCAAGAAGTGCCAGGTCACTTGTTCGACTGTCTCCGCTGCTGTTTCTTAGGTAGTTCTTCAAACGACGCAAACAAGAAAAACTGCGCTCACAGCTCACTGATGTTACTGGAAGAGTCAAAGATATGGATATCAGCTTATACAAGTCCAGGAATGCATCTTTGTAGGGCCGCATCACAGATAGGAAGTCTTGTGTGTTGTTGATTATAAGTCCCAGTTCTTCTTTCCTTTTCAGCAGCCGGCGAACCTGGTGGAGCTCAGCTGACAAGTTCTCCTCGTTAACTCCATGAAGACAGGCCATAGGCAGTATCCATTTTTTGTCAAGGAATGATGGGTGTTTGGGGTTTAGAGCTGGCAAACCTTTCAGTACTTCATTAGTTTCTGAAGAAAAACGCTGTTTCATTTCCATTAGCATCCTGTCTATAACAGAATAGAATGATTTTGTTTTTAGGTCATCCGTGCTGTCTGCACCTTTTCTTTCTATTGAGGCATCCACAATAAAGTGCTCTAGATGTTTAGCTGTTTGAGTCTGTCTTTTCTGCCGATGTACAGTCTCTGTTGCTATTCCTGTGTTGCTGCAAAGTTCTTCTGCTTCTTTTCTGAGTGTCTCCCATTTGTCATCTGTGCGTTTTTCTGTTAAAGCAGTTATTACAGAATGAGCCAGGTCATTTGCTGCTACTAGATCTAAATTAGGAGACTGTAGCTGATCAGACATGAATTTTGTTGTTCTGAAAATATCCTCAAAAATTACAAGATGCAGAACAAACTTCTTATCTATAAGTGCACTGAGAGCTTTAGCCTCCGTCCTCCTTTTAGCATTTTTCTGGTCAACAACATCGTGCAGCGTAGCTATAACAGCTGGGAGAGTTTTTTTGACAGCACGTATGGAATCATACTGGCACGCCCAGCGGGTGTCACTGAGTCTTTTAAGTTCTAGGCGCTGTACAGCTGACACAAGTTCTTCCTGCTTCTTCAAAAAAAGATCATGAACAACAGACCCAGAAAAAAACTTGTAAAGCATTTGCAATATCTCAAAAAAATCGGCTGCAGCATCAACATTATGTACACAGTCTACTAACACAAGATTCAGCCTGTGAGCATGGCAGTGAATGTACACAGCTTGCGGCACCTCTTTTCTCAACTTTTCTTGAACTCCATTGTTGCACCCGGACATAACAGCAGCACCGTCATAGCACTGTCCGACACAGCAATTTATATCAATATTACAACGACTGAGGGTCATTTTGATACAGTCAAAAAGTGAGTCTGCATCTAATCCTTCTGCTGGGGTGAAATGCAAAAATTCTTCCACCACCTTCTCTGAATCTGGCTGCAAATAACGAACAATAACAGATATTTGTTCTTTTTTGCTGATATCTTTACTTTCATCCACCAAAATAGCAAAGTGTTGAGCTTCTTTCACTTCATTGCTGATTTGTTTTCTTATCATTTCAGCCATAACATTAAATATTTCGTTCTGTATGTCATGATGAACATACTTAGCATTAGATGGATTAATTGTCAGCTTTTTTTGGACATTGGGATCAAATTTTCCAATCACATCAAGCATCTCACGAAAATTACCTTTGTTAGCTGAATCCTGTTTCTCACTGTGACTGCGCTGTGCGATTCCCTGACAAGCTGTGTAGCGCAAACTTTCTACAACACCCATCATGTACCTCCGGTTCTCCTGAACCAATGCAGAATGTCCTTTGTCGAGCATGTTGGGGAGTTTTGATCCACTCGTTTGTTTAAACTTGAATTCACTCCACGCTTCCATTGCAAATTTGTGTCCGGCGCTTTCATGATGGCTCTTCAATGACGCTGCTGCTTTCCGCCAGTTGTTAAAGCCGAGCGCGGTAAATGCTGGCTCAAGATGGAACCTGTGTCCTCCTTTTAGAAAATGCCGACAAGCAAAACAAAACACGGCATCTTTACTCACGCTGTATTCTAACCACAAATATTGATCGAGCCAGCCTTTACTAAAACTTCTCTGTTGCACTCCAAACAAGCGTGATGGGTATTTTTGCAGAAGTGGTCGTCTTGGTCCATCTTGAGGACTTCTGCTTAGATCTTCTAGCTGTCCAGTGCTAACACTGTTAGCATTCTCAGCAGCAGTGGAAGGATAACTGCACAGTTTATCTTCTTCATCCAGATTAATATTTCTTTGTTGGTCGGACTCTGCTTCCAAAAATGCATCCTTCTCAAATTCCATCCGTGGAACTTTTGGTTGCAAAAAACGATCCATATTTGCGCAGCGTGTTCCTCTCAATTGCTTCCCGGAAGTAATAATACGCAAAGTTCAAATCAGGTTGAATTATTTTTTTTATTTTTATTTTTTACTGAAATTAGAATGGTTGATTCTTTTTATATATATTTGTCTTTAGAAGAAAATGCCACAACTACATATTTAAAATATTAAATTAGATGAAGAAAAAAATCTAAATATTTCCTGGGGGTGCTATGGAGGTGCTATAACTTTTCTAGGGGTAGCTATAGCGCCCCCTAGCGTCCCCCTGGCGCCGCCACTGGTTAGGAGTAACAGTAAAGGCTCCAGTATACTGCCACGTACGTCTATTCATGCGTACGTACGCGTGTACTGTACGCAGAGGGTTCAGACTTCATACTCGAGCGTACACCCCGAGCAGCTGCAGAGCAGCTTCACAGACAAGGGGCGTTTACCTTCGGGACAAATTGAGGTCGCCGATTGGTCATTTGCTGACACACCTACTGGATTGATTGACAGGTCGGAAAAACGAAAAAAGCGAGCGCTGGCAGCCTGAGCCGCAGCGGTGTTCTGTGTTTATATGTTGTTAATAAAAAGATCTAAAAAAATAAAAAAAAAATGGAGAGCGCTGGCTCGACAGCCCACACATCAGACCAGCCCACCAGGAAATCTCCAGACCCTCCCGCAGCCACGCTGGACCTGAGTTTAATTCGCTCGTGACAAATTCCTCCATTTCTCACCATTTCAGTCATGGCATCAACGGAGGAGGAAGAGATCACTGCCTCTTGGCAAAAAAACAAAAGAAAAGACCAGATCAGAGATGAAGAAGGGGAATTTAATACATTGGTGTTGCATACAAAACAGTCCATTGCTGGGCAGTTTATTGTACGACACCGCGTACGCATATGCGGTCGTAAAAATTTGAGCTTTGCATGGAGGGTACGCTGGGGGCTACGCATGTACCTCTGCATACGTACGTGCATACCTCTGCGTATGGATGTACGCGGCAGTATACTGGGGGCCTTAGGAGGCCATCTGGTCTCTGGATTACACCTTCATCCAGAGCTGCTCTGAGATTAGCTGACTCAGCATCGTGAGAGCTGCAGAGGCTGCAGGAGGTCACCTGACTGCAGGTCAGCAGGTGTGACTGCAACAGGGCACTCTGAGACTGAGGGGCTGTTTACACGGCGCGTATTTTGAGTGCATCTGCAGCTTTCTCTCTGCGGTTCTGCTGATCATTTATTTACACGACACCAGTGGCCCCCCTATTTGAATCCGGAGGTTTCTGAATCCACCTTCCAGAGTGGAGTTTTTTCGCTGACCCCCCGCTGATAATGTAAACGTCTCCCGCTAAGGCTTTGTGTTGAAACACATGTGCACACTCACGCGCGGACAGATGCTATATTTCTATCAACATTTCGGTGGACACACTGCTTTCAGAACTACGACTGATGGAATATATTTATTATCTCGTAGTTAATCTAGTTCAGATTCCAGGTTTCTGTGACAGACACCTGTGTTGGAAGAGACAATCTGATCCAGTTCTAATGTCGCTGTTTATAGAACGAGGCACGCACACACGTCACGCTGCACTATAACATATAAATGTGCTAAATAATAAATTTAATAATAATAAACAGTATTTATCTTAAGTTTGAGATATATAATGAAGCTCTCTGAGCTAAATGAAGGTATCGGGACATTACGTAATTCAAATTATGGGATTAAAATGATGCTAAACATATTGCATGCTATTAACGTTGAAAATGAAGACATCAGGTTTAATTTTTATTTATTTATTCAACACCACAAACTGATAATTAAACTGAACATTGAATGGATTGAATAAAAGAACTGAGGGGAATTTTAAATAAATAGTTCATCCATCATCTCTCTTCGACGTCCTGCTGCCGAGCCTCGTTCAGAACCGGTCCGCCTGGTGGGAGACAGCTCCTTCTTCTTTCAGGAAAAAATAAAAACTCAGTTGGTTGTTTTGTAACCAAAGTAAACACAAGCTGACATTATTAAGAACATTTGATTTACCTGCTGTAAACCAGCTACTGATTATCATGGAGTAAAGTCCAACAATGTTGACTCGGTTCTGGTCCACTAAGCGACCGGTGTGGAGCTGTTAGACGAAGAGGTTCCGCTTGACGTCAAATCTGTCGACTCTTTTATCCAAAATCCAGCTAGAATCCAGCTTTAACTTGTTGTTAAGATGTTGTTAGCAAAGCTTTTTAGCTCACAGGAAACAGCGTGCCGAGGCAGCACGCATGCGCATTAGGTGAAGGTACAAAATTCACAGTGCCATCTAATGACCTGGCATGGTAACTACAGCGGATTCGGGAGGGCGGGGGGGAATCTTGCGGATGCATATAAACCCAAAATACAACCGTGTCAACGCGGATCTTTTCCTCTAATTAACATACGAAAAAAAACTACGTTTCCCCCCATCGTGTCCGTGTAAATAGGGCCTGAGACCTGCAGCGAGTTGTTGGTTCTGAATGAACAGCTGAACTGCAGCATGCTGGGCTGGGTAGAAATGCTGATCCATAGGAGTTGGCTGGACAGCTGGTGTGATGTACCTCCATCTGACAGGAGGACTCACTAAAGACCACAGAGTCAGGGAGGTGTCAAAGAGGTGGGCATATTGCTACAGGTAAGACGGGGAGTTGTCAGAGTTGGGTGGGCTGATATCATGTAATAAAGTGTTGTCATCATTGTATGTTCCCATTCAGTCATTAAATTAGTCTCTGCATTTAACCCATCACACCTGAGATACACCAGGTGGAGCAGTGGGCAGCTTTGTAAGCCCCTGGGGAGCAGTTAGGGATTGGGCGTCTTGCTCAAGGACACCATGACGTGGAGATAGTGGGAGTTGAACCTGCAACCTTCTGGTCCCAAGTCTGCTGCCCAACCTCTACACCACAGTGGCCCCTATGTTATGTATTACTATTACTTTCACTGTCTAATGTGCGACCAGGCTGCACTAGTTGTGTTTGGTTGAACTAATTCGACATCTTAGATGGTTGAGCAGTCTCACTACTTTTTGCACTTTTGTTTAATTATTAAAGTCCCGCTAGGCAACTAAATTGCAGCACAAGTAGGTCAAACATCCCAAATTAGTCTATATTTTAACGTACTAGTGGACAACTGGACCAAACTGGAAGATGACTTTTACAAGTTAACTAGTGAGCATGAAAAACCTTCCATGTTCACTAATACAAACACTGCCTATAGGTCAACTAATGTATGCACTAGTCGACTAGTGTGAATCAAACATTAACTAGCCTACTAGTGTAGGTTTAATAATAATAATAATATAATAAAGTGTTAAGTGTTGTCATCATTGTGTGTTCCCATACAATTCAATTCAGTTTATTTATATAGCTTCAAATCACAACAAAGTTGTCTCAGGGCACTTTACAGAAACATTCACATACATAAAAGCCAATTAGTAAAGTTCTCTATCTAAGGAATCCAGCAGACAAGTTGAATCTTGGCTTCGTTGCAGTCTCCCATCCTGAGCAAGCACAGTGGCAACAGTGGAAAGGAAAAAAACTCCCTTTTAAAAGGAAGAAACCTCCAGCAGAACCAGGCTCAGGACAAATGGCCATCTGCTTTGACTGGCTGGTTTGAGAGGACAGGAAGGAGAGACAGACGAACACAGAATGGTAGGTCCAGATATAGGTCCAGGTGTATCTGAAAGACAAAAAAAAAACACATGTTAAGGATAGAAAAAATAATTACAAATACAAAACAGGTTGAGCAGAGTAAATAAAGACAGTAGCAGAGTGAAAAGTGTGGTCAGTTTGTCAGTCAGAGTCAGAGTTTCTTTATTGTCATTCGCACCTCATGTGGTACATGTGGTGGAGCGAAATTATGTACACAGGGTCCCAGTTACATCCAACAATAAAATGTATAAGAAAAACAGTAATAACATCTAAGATATGAACTAAGAAAAACATCAACTAAATATACACTAAGCACTCATAACATAAAACATTGAACATCAGCACAAACATGAACATGAGTCTGTGAGCAGATGTGCACGCATGAACACATCAACATTGAAACAGATCAGCAGCAACATGAAACAGATCAGCAGCAACATGATATGGTTTTACACAGTGATTATTCTAGTTAGAGATTCATGAGTCTAACAGCCTCAGGGTAGAAGCTGTTCCTCAGTCTAGTGGTTCTACACTTAATGCTCCTTAACCTCCTTCCTGAGGGGAGTGGGGCAAAAAGTGTGTGTGCTGGGTGGGTGGGGTCCTTCATGATGCAGGTGGCCCTCTTCCTGCATCTGGAGGTGTAGACGTCTGTGATGGTGGGGAGGCTGATTCCAACAGTCTTCTGTGCAGCCTTCACCACTCTCTGCAAAGCTTTTCTTTCTGCAGCTGTGCAGCCTCCATGCCACACATTGATGCTCGAGCACAGGATGCTCTCCACTGCACACCTGTAGAAGGAGGTGAGGACTGAGCTTCCCAGACCAGCTCGCCTCAGCCGTCTGAGGAAGTAGAGTCTCTGATGAGCTTTCTTGATCAGGCTGGTGGTGTTGTTGCTCCAGCTGAGGTTGTCATTCATGTGTACACCCAAGTACTTGTAGCTGGAGACCACTTCCACCGCAGATCCTCTTATGTTCAGGGGGGTGTAGGTGTTTTTGTTCCTTCTGAAGTCCACAATCATCTCCTTTGTCTTCTTCACATTGATGTGAAGGTTATTCTCTCTGCACCAGCTCTCCAGGTGTTCCACCTCTTGCCTGTAGCTGGACTCATCATTGTTTGTGATGCATCCCACCACCGCTGTATCATCTGCAAACTTTACAATGTGACAGCCTGGATGGGTAGCTACACAATCATATGTGAGCAGAGTAAACAGAAGGGGGCTCAACACACATCCCTGAGGAGAGCCAGTGCTGAGGGTTATGGTGGAGGAGGAGAGGTTGTGGATCCTCACTAACTGTGGTCTGTTTGTTAAAAAGTCTAGTACCCAGTTGCAGATGGAGGGGCTTAGTCCTAGTGTGGATAGTTTGTCCATCAGGGTTTGGGGGATCATGGTGTTGAAGGCGGATGTGAAGTCCACAAAGAGCATACGGACGTAAGAGTTTTTCTGCTCCAGGTGGTTGAGTGCAGTGTGGACCACAGAG